GCAATAACAACGCCTGCTTGCATGTTCTACCAAAAAAAGTGCTTTGGTGGGCATCTGATGGATAAACACCAAACCAGTTCCACATCACTGAAGTGGCACCATTTTTACAAACCAATTCTGGTTCATCCGTTTCACTCAACGATCTGCTTTCTCCCTTCTCATTCTCCGTTGCCACCATGCTTTTTCGTTCATGTGTGTATGAAAACAAAAGGCACTGCGCATTTACCCATATTCTATCGCGATATTTCATTTTCTTATCGTTGCCTAACATTGTACCGGTATTACCATGAACGGTATAATATGGCCCAGCACTAGATTGGAACCATGTTAAGATCCAACCATGCAAATTATTATTTTTTGGCCATTTTCAAGTAGTCTTAAACTGGTGATCGGGACTGTATATCCTCCAAGATGACAATGCTCGTCCACACAAAACAGGGCTTATCAGAGAATTTTGAGTTGGAGGGGCTGGAATAGCCTGCTTGCAGTGCTGACCTCAACCCCACTGAACACTTGTGGAATGAGCTTGGATGTGCTGTTCATGCCAGAGTAACATACACAACAATGTTGACTGACTTGCGAAAAATTCTGGTTGAAGAATGAAATGCCATCCCCAAGCAGGAACTGGATATATATGGTTCTTCCACATGCTTCTGACCATTGTTTGTTAAATGAATAAATTGTTAAATTGCCAATATGTCTTTCTTTAAACTTCAATTATTCAATCCAAGAAATGACACCAAAGAAGAGTCCATAGCAGAATAGGTTGTTTAGCATTGGCAGTGGAGATCTGTTAATGTTTTTTTTTTTTTTTTGTGCGCAAACCACATACCCAACTCTGCTTCGGCTCCATTCACTAAAAAGAGCAGTCTTTTGGATCCCAACCGGCTCTTCAGGTTGTTTTGTTAATTAATTTATTATCAGCAACAATATAAATTTATGTACAAAATGAATTACTAATGTAAAAAAAAAAAAAAAAATCTTTTTTTTATTTATATATGTTTATACATAAATATGCTTTTATTTATCCCTTTAAGACCTAGCATAGAGTCCAAGTCCGCCAGAGCTTATTTTTATGTTTTTACATGCTGTAGTACCATTTTTGGGAGCATTTCAAGTTGCTAAACATCAATACAATTGTTATATCCCAAATGTTAATAATATGTATGCATTAAGTCTATAGTAACTATATAAATTACAAGAAAGTGCAATAAACTACCAAAAAAAAAAAAAAAAAAAAAAAAAAAAAAAAAAAAAAAAAAAAA